ACGCACCCAGTCCTGGATCTCTGTGCTCCTGGGGCGGCGGGGGGTGGGTGGGACCTGTCTGCAAGTCCGACTCTCACCCAAGCTGCCCTCATGTAGGAGATATTCTCTGTTGTGATGTCACAATACACACTATTCTATGATTCGATTCATTAAACTAGGCACAAGCAGAAGTAGGAACGACAAGAAGTTGCAGGTTGGAGGGAGCTGAGTGTGCAGCTCTGTGTCCAGCTTACCTTGTCCATGAGCCCGGGAAGCCCACAAGGTGACAATGACACTGACCAGGGACAGCAGCATGTTAGACATCCCCGAGGGTGTATTAACTCGAATATCCCAGCCGTGCTCCGTGGAGTTGTGAGTCTGCCTCGTGAGCGGTTGTTAGTGTGAGCCTGAATTTCAGGGCACTGCCAGGAAGCTGGTTTGTTGGGTTCACTTAATATCAAAGTTCAGAGAGTTTTGCAAGATATGTAAATTTCTGTTGAAAATTTCCCAATCTCTTTGTGACTTCCCATTCCTCATCATTGCACAACATCCCTCAGTGATATTAACACACCTGATGCAAAATTGACAAGTAACAGTAATTTTTAAATTAAACAACTCTAGAAATGGCTGAGGTTCTTTCTCCACCCAGAGGTGGAGTGGGAATAATCCGAGTCCACTTCCCTGTAACTGTCCCTTGTCCTGTATGTGTCCTCACCCAGCCTCAGTCCTTCCAGTCTGTGACCACCAATCCCCAAAGCTACTAGCAAATGTTTGTTAAAATGTTACTATTCAATGTTACTTAAGATTTTATTATCCAGTAATGTATAATTAATATTCTTATTCTCCTAAGGGACTCTTTCACGTCTCCTGTGGTTTTCATGAAGAGCTTCTCATGAAAGGAAAGATCTCTTGGAACATTTTCCCTACCAGAACGTTCCCCTTGACCCCACTGTCGTCATCCAGGCCTCATTGCTCTCACGTCTGTGCACCTATGTCTCTGGTCTTTGAGAGGTTCACATACAGGGAGTTTCACACACGTCACTTACTGTGGCCTGGTACTTCTGGGGACCTACCTCCTCATGTGCAAGTGATGCCATCCAGCCACCTTGTGAAAAAGTCACACAGTTGTCCTCACGTCTGTAGCACCATTTCCTGCAGGTGCTAGAAAGTACAATTCATTCCTGTCTTTTGTGTATGGACATTCCTGCTTTCTTTCTGGAATATTACGAGGTGTCACTGGCAACAAAAGACAAGGAGCAGATGAAGTAATGATTTCCATGACCAATCAAAAGAGAAGAATTGTTTCACTGATGAACTATCAGCTTCTCAGCATCACTGTCCCCCTGGTTTAGGGCTCCTGGGATGAGAAGGGATACAGAGTTCGGAGGGCAGAGCTGGTGCAGAGGTCTTGCTGAGGTGAAGGAGGTTATGTCTTGTGTGTCATGTGATGTATGAACTTGGATGTGGACTCTGGAGGAAGCGAACTGTTCAGACGCACCTACAGTGTTTTCCGGAGTCCCTGTGGTCCAAGGCTGGGTGAGCAGAGGGGGGTCAGCTCCAGGGATGAAGGGGCTGTTTCCACCTCTCAGCTCCTTTGTCCCCCTTTTGTCTCATCTCCTCTCTCAGCAGGAAGTGGGCCCTGGGTTCTCTTCTCACACCAGCTCATGCAGAGAGATTGAGGTGTCTTACAGCTTCATTGTTGTATTTCCTTACATTCATGCCCCCCCCCAGTTATTGGAGACAGTGTACTGTCTTAATATATATATATAAGTATAACTAATATATATATTTATTTGTAATATATAATAATATAATATAATTATGCCTTTTTATAATTAATAAAATTTATATATGAAAGAAGAAAGGAAATAATTAGAGTTAAAATTGATGCAATGGTGAGATTTATAAGGGCATGTGCAAGGAAGAAATAAACAAAGGAATAAATTGAAAAAATACTACATTAATAGAGGACAAAGCAGAAAAATCTAAAACTGAAAAATATCACCTATGCAAATAAATGTATAATGTTACTACTAATTTGGTAAGCAAGCTAAGCAGAGATTAGCATTTCTGTCCCATCGTTTTGAATACCAGAGGGTGTCCAACATCCTGGGACAGAATAAATACAAAAGCATTTTAGCTGTCACTCAGTAGTTACTGTGCTAACAGTAATGTTTGCTTTACACTTTGGAAACCTTTTTCTGAAACTGAGATGTAAGAATATAGAAGCAATGAGACAGAGAGAAAATGTATTGAAGAGTTTCTAGATCCTGTTTTATTAGCAGAACTGTAAAACCCAAAAGGAACTAATGCTGTATTTATTTATCTACTAATTCATTCATTCATTTATGTATCTTTAGAATATTACTTTTATTTTATTTTGTTGAAAGCACACACTGCATTCCACCCCCAAGGACAGCCAAGTGTCCCGTGGAAGTACAAGACCTTATGACAATATATGAAATCATTGTGACCTGAACGTGTAATATTTTACACTCTTAGGTGTCATCAATGACAATGACCAGCAAAGATTTACTGAGCCCCTTCTGGATGCCAGGCCCTGCACTGGGCACTGGGACTTGGTTGTTGTCCACTCTTGTGACAGTATTTTCCTCATTGTCTCACGACAACATTCTTTTAGTTGTGGTGTTTGAGACTGAGATAAAATCTTGGTATAAGAGTGTTTCATGCCTGTAAAAATGTATTTACTCTTGTTATGGGTGTGTTGTCAATCCTTACAATTCATTTTAATTTCATTTCCATTTCAAAGATCTGACAATCTAAAGAAACTGGAAGTAAAAATACTTCCACACTATTGGACATGCCCATGTGGAACATAGTTCTTGGGTTTTAAAATGCTATTTCCCGATAAAAAAAAATCTGAGGTTCTTGCAAGCATGTGTGCCCATGTGAGCAGTTGGCAGGAGAAGTACACACTGAGCGTGGAACAACACACTGTGATATAAAGAAGAGAAAGGCTGAATGAGTAAGTGGGGATTCAGCTGAAGCTCCAAGAATGTGGTTCAGGTGACAGCCCTCGCCAAGACTGGAGTAATCCAGCGACCAATGGAGAAATGAATGTGACCAAATGTGACAAATGGATCATTAAACACTGAATTCTTGCTGATACATACAGCAGTTTTAAAGAAGAAAAAGAAATCCTGAAAACTGACATAGAAGGACATGAACATAAGTTTTTGCTCCAGAAAGTGGAGATTGAGGGACAATCATGATGAGTAGCCACATCATTTAGGTGAAGGTTTAACCTACGCAGCCTTGGTGAAGGGACACTTACCTGTGTACAAGAGGCACCGGGAATGAATGGAGAAGAACGATAGAACTGGTCTGTGAAATTACAATTTTGTGACCTCCAATGAAATAATTGACAAAAACCAAGTGTGACAGGTTCTACTACTATTGGGTAAAAGGCTGGGAGAAACACTATGTGCACAAACATCACCATTTATGGCAAAGAGATGTGTCCATTGTGATGATGACCCTTCATGTGACAGGAAACTGGGTGCTCTGTGACACAGGTTCCCTAACCTGGTTCCTTGGTGAAGCCAGTCTCTTCATTGGAGCGATGTCCCAGGTTTGGTTTTTAACACAGAGCAACAGGGTACCACTTCAGGTATTTGTAGCTTAGTTACTTATAGCTTTATTTTCATTTTAAAATTTTTATTGAATTGACTGGGGTCACACTGCTTAATAAAATTATATAGCTTTCAGGGTACAGTTCTATAATACATCATCTGTAAATTGTATTTGTGTGTTCATTACCCCAATCAGGTCTCCTCCCATCACCATTTATCCCCCATTTACCCTCTTCTACCTCTCCCACCCCCTTCCCTCTGGTCATCACCATACCGTTGTCTGTGTCTATGGGTTTTATTTCATTTTATTTTTTTAATTAATGCCTTCACCGTTCTCACTCAGTCCCCCCCAATTCTCCCCCTCTGACAGCTGTCAGTCTGCTTCTGTATCTGTGAGTCTGTCTCCGTTTTGGTTGTTAGTTTACTTTGCTCATCAGATTCCACACATCTGAAGTCTCATGCAGCTTGTCTTCCTCAGAATGGCTTATTTCACTTTGCACAGTACTCTCCAGGTCCATCCATGCTGTTGTGAAACGTGAGACCTACATCCTCAGCTGGCATCTTACAGTATTAATGTTTTTATAGAAATGAATAATGTTTATATTCAACTGAATTTAATTAGTGATTTGTTTGAAATGTACAAATATAAAAAACATATTTCAGGCTCCGGGGTTTGAAAGTGTCCAAATCTCTATAAAGCAGCAAAATCATGAAGATGATATTTAAGCCCTCCTCTTCATGCAGAGCTATTTCTGGTTCTCATCATGTGTCATCTTACTTTTTGTGGGTATTTACTCCAAATTAACATATTTCATCATTCAAAGATGATACATGTTCAATACAGAAGACTGGGGGGAATGTGGGACTGAACCCCCAACTCCTACCCCCCATTATCTCTACATCCAACAGAGTTGTGGTAAGTGTCATTGCACTTCCTGCCGGTCTCTGCTCTGTAAACGCGTAGTCATGGTTCACAGCATGTCCTGAGATTGTGTGAATGTGTTTATACTGCTGCTGTCTTTTTCATCAGGACGTGTGCCACTGCCCACAGTCTTGCCCTGATTTGGACCCCACCTGCTCTGTGTGACGTGTCTGAGAGCTTGCCTGCACTGGGGGGACAGGCTGCAGAAGATCACGCCTGTCACCATCTCTGGTGAGTGTTTCTCGAGGACAGGTAATAACTGCTGACGTCTTCTCTCTGACACAGGTGTGACATAGGCTGGTTTTTATGTGTTTGTGAAGTGATTACATTTTGAAGATGGAGACAAGCATGTTTCCCCTTTCACTCTGCAACAAGAGTCTCAAACAGCCCCAGAAGTTCCAGACCAAGTGTTGGGAAAGTTAGGGGAGTGGTTGGGTGCAAGCAGGCTGTGAAGGGATAGGTTCTGATTTCTGGCCACAGATGTTTGATGAACAGAACACACAGCATTGTGGTTTGCCACATTTTAATGAGATCCTTTTCAGAGCAATTCATTGGTCTTTCACATTATAATGATATCAACATAAATTCTGATTATGAAGAAAAATGAGATAAAATATACTTGAAAAAATAGAGAATTGGATTAATATAAAATACTCTAAATGAGTACATGTATTTCAATTTTCAGAATGCAACATAACCATCATTTTATTCACAGGTGGGATACGTCAGTTTTCCTGCCTTACACGTTACCCGGAATGAGGAAGATGGTGACTTTGCACGATACCCACGTCGGCAGGTGAACTCAATACTATCATCTGATTCTGAATAAATTTTTTTGTCCTGTTTCCATTTTAACTGTATGTTATGTTTTTCCATCATTTCTTCTAATATTACACATGCCTCTAAAGGTAAAAACAAGAAATGTAAAACATTAAGTGGTATACAAATTCTCAGTAGAGAAGTTTAGACTGTCACGTAGAATCTTCCACACTGATCCAGGAACTCATTCTCAAAACCTTTTTCAATATAACTCATTGAAAAGTCATCCTGTAGATGTAAGTCATTTTAAGCAATTAATGATGTAAATATGAGGTATTCTGTGGGACAACTAAAAGGTAAATCAAAGTTAATAATAGCAGTTACTATGTATTTAGTTTTCATAAAAGAATCTTTGTTACTCTTCCTGTTTGAGAATTTTTTTGTATGTTATTTGTCCATGCCTCACTATGAGGGAGTCAAGCATTCATCAGAATATGGTCATCCATGAAAGTTCTGTTATAAAGAGCCGAACATCACACTCTTTATGCCGATTTCCCAGGACCCATGGGAACGACAATCCACTTACCTAAACATTTGGGTGGTTGTGACCACTCTCCATCACGACATCTTATTATCCTGTTTCCCTGAAGTTTATAGTAGGCCTGGCATTTGTACTCCACCGAGTCTCCTGGAGCGTAGACGGCTGATGGGAATGTGGTGATGTCCCCATTGTCGATGGTTGGAGGGGGCCCACATTTTCCTTTGGACTCTACAAAAGGACAGTCTTTGGTTTAAGGTGGCTCTGGAGTAGGTGGGGGCTATCCTCACCTCTTCCAGGAGCCAGACTGGATTTACAGCTAAATAAGGGAGTAAGCAATGTGAATAACCAAGTGAAGGATGCCTGACCAAGAGCCTTAAACCTAGGGTGTACGGAAGCCACCACACAGATGGGTAAGCAGAGAGGACATGGGGACAGCCTTGACCCCCTACCATGGACAGTGGCTGAGAAGCTGGAGAGTCGGCTGGGCTGAAAGGCCCCAATAAAAAGCTCGCATTCTCACCCTCATTCTGGAATCCATGACAGAATATCTCTTCTTCTAATGTGGCCAAATATGTCCTAGAATAAGTACACCATAGTACTTACTCAGTCCACGGACAGAATGGAACTTTAAGCACCACCATTTTATTTGCATGAATTTATTTCATCCATAGGAATCACTTCATTATGTATTCATAGCAACACAGCTCATCCCTAATATATCCTCTACAATGGGGGTGAGGGGGAGAACAAGATACTCTACCTTTGCACTGAGGTGGTTCAGTCCAGCTCCCATTCATACAGGTCACCTCTACATCCCCAAAGAGGTCCAAAGATTTCTTGCATTCGTAACGTACTCTGTCACCAGACTGATACCTAGTCATCTTGTTTTGTATAGTGGCATTTTTGACTATGGGAGGACTCCCACAGGAATTATCTGAATAAAAAGGAAAAATGTATATCTAATGCAATGAATGTTTATAACTCACATTGACCAATGGGATTCCCTTCTATTTCTGGAGGACTTAAATCCATATTAATCTGTCATGAAGACTGAGAAATTTCATAAATTTACATGTATGATTGAAAAAGGAGATAATGCAGGGTTTTTTTTTCTGTAGCAGTTAAGCTTCTATATCTTAAATTTCTTTCCCACCCTCTTGAAGATTAATAGACACTTATAACCAGTGTAAATGATGGCTTTGGGGGACTTTCCTTTGAGTTTAGCAGGAAAAAAAAGAAAGTTATGTAAATTGAAGATAAATTGATGAACCTTAATACTAGAATAACAGATTATTTGGCATGAGATTTGGGTTGAAATCATCATGTCTATTCATTGTGATTTTAGGCTCTTGGGACTAATAAGTACAGTAGTCATTTCCTTAAGGAGTATGTCAAGAATTAAATGCTTTGAGGAATACCTCATAGTTAAAGGAAGAGGGTGATCGCAAAAAAGATCCAAACAGAGGCTGAGGAAAATATTATGAAAAAAATGAATTTACAATTTAATGAAAGTACTGTAGTCATCTGAGGGGGGAAGATTATTATAGATGCTAAGATGAGCAACGAACTTCAGCTAGAGGCAAAGTATTAGTAGACCGAAGTGGAAGCTGCTGGGAATTCCTGTCAAAAAGGTTTCACTGCTAGGGTTATGCCCTAAGAACCCTGAAACACCAATCCAAAAGAACCTATGCACCCCCATGTTCATGGCAGCACCATTTACAATAGCCAAGTACCAGAAGCAACATAAGTGCCCATCAGCAAACAAGTGGATCAAAAAATCATGGTACATTTACACAATGGCATAATATGCAGCAGAAAGAAAGAAGGAGCTCCTACCCTTTGCAACAGCATGGATGGAACTGGAGAGCATTATGCTAAGGGGAACAAGCCAGGCAGTGAAAGACAAATACCATATGATCTCACCTTCAACAGGAACCTAATCAACAAAACAAACAAGTAAGCAAAATATAACCAGAGACATGAAAATGAAGAATAAATGGACAGTAACCAGACGGGAGATGGGAGAGGTAATGGGGGGATAATGGTGAAGAGTCTTCAGAAATGACTATAAAGGACACATGGACAAAACCAAAAAAGGGGGTGGAATCAGTGGAGGGAGGTAGGGATGGCTGGGGTGGTGGGGAGAAGTGGGCCTGGAGTGAAAAGGCAGAGAATTGTACTTGAACAACAATAAAATTTTTTAAAAAAGAGTTTCAGGTCACAACCTGGAGTTTTTTATGCTGCTCTGAGTGAGCCTGTGAAGTGGCATTTGCATTTCCTCCAGTTTCCCAGAAGGTGCTGACACTGCTGTTTCAGGGGCCACCCAGTGAGAACAGGGGCCCTCAGGTCAACCATCACCACCCCTTCCATTCCTCTGTGTGAAGGCACCAACACCACCCCCCACCCCCGCCCTGATCTGGCCTAAGACAGAGCCTGTGTTCATCTCTTCATCACGCTAGAAGTAATGCTATATTGTACTATTTAAGACACTTCAGGAAATTAAATGTCAAAGTTTATCAAAACACCTCTGCATGTGGGCGTCCCTATCCATCTGCCAGTCATACAGCGAACAACATTGGATCCATCCATTTGGTAGGGCTGTCGACATCTGTAAGCTACTTCATCTCCTGACTGATATACTTTCTTGTTCTTGTTTACGTTTGTGGGTTCGGCATTATCAAAGCTGGGTGGGGAAGGACAAGTTGTCTCTGAAGGGAAAAAAACAAAAAACTTGTTCAGTAAATCTTTAAAAACATATATGGCCAATAACTTTACTCTAGAATAATAGGTACATACTAAACAAATGTATACTGTACAACATTTTTTATAACTTGAAAATATGTTAACAGTCTTGACTTGATTACATTGAATGATTCTACATTTATCCGAAGTGTAATATGGCGATGAAGAGAAAGAAAGAAGGAACTTCTACCCTTCACGAAAGCATGGATAGATCTGGAGAACATTATGCTTAGTGAAATAAGCCAGTTGGTAAAGGCAAATACCATATGATCTCACCTTTAAGTGGAACCTAATCAACAAAACAAATAAGGAAGCAAAACATAACCAGAGACATTGAAATTAAGAACAATCTGATGGTAACCAGAGGGGAGGGTAGAGAGGGATAATGGAAAAAAATTGAGGGGGGTCATCAAGGAACATGTATAAAGGACACATGGACAAAGCCAAAGGAGGGTAGGATCGAGGGTGGGAGGCAGGGATGGGTGGGGTGTGGGGGAGTGGTGGGAGGAAAATGGAGACAACTGTACCTGGAAAACAATGAAAAATATATAAATTAGTTTAAAACAAAGCATTACATGGGACTGATGGTTCAGAAAGCCTGATGAGATCAGGACCACACTTCTTACATTCAGATTCTTTTTTGTCCATAGAGGCCATCTGTGTTATATCCGTATTTGTACCCTTTCCTTCTAAGTCCATTTCCTAGAACTACATGAAGCATTGAAAAATGACACAAATGTCTCTAAGTAGGTAACCTGTAAAGTGTCAAGAGCTGAGTCATGATGAGACTGGTGAGCAGGGGCCAGCTGTACCCCACGGAGCTGACATGGCTGAGCATGCACATAGAGCATGGGGCAGGGGGAACGGGGGACCTCAAAGTAATTCTTGTTAATTCTAGAATGACTACAGATTTAAATGGATGTCATTCATGCTCTAATTACATGTATTGATCAGCTCAAGAATAAAATTAAATACACCATACTTATGCATTCTGGGGGAGGGCTCCATTTTCCTCCTGAACATATCACAGATGCAGGTCCATGAATGGTAAATCCTCGGGCACACTTGTAGGTAAATTCTTCTCCATACTCATATCTGTTTTTCCTGTTCAGTGCAGCCCCATTGGAAACTGAAGGTGGTGGTCCACAAGGAAGTCCTGAGGAAAAAAGGTAGGAATGACTGCATATTTCACTAACTCTGGAATTTATTTCATGTACTGTTTGGCATAGTTGGTACTTTTATTTGATCACACAGGCACTAATGATAATACATCACAGGAAAGGTGCACAAATGCTCACTAAAACCGTGATCGAGGTGTGCATTGATGGAAAAGAGAAATGTCAATATATTTAGGAATGGGACTATCACTGCTCCTCTAACCAGTCACGAGTAATAAAATGAAACACATTGAGAATCATGTTATGAAAATTCTCATCTATTGTAAGAGATCAGAAAGGACATTGTAGGAAGAATATAAAAATTTAAAATCTGGTGGCAAAGCTTTCACTACAATGTCTACAAATATTTAGAATAATACTAATAGCTGTACCCACATGACTAGTTAGGTTTAATTTCACTATACATCTAGTTTTAGTGGGGAAAATGCCATAATTAAAAGTGATTTCATGTACCACATTTTTTTATCCACTTATGGACTGTTCGGCCCTCGTACTGTTTCCAGGTCCTGGCTGTTGGAAACAATGCTGCTGTGAACATAGGGGTGCATATAATCTTTCCAACCGGTGTTTCAGGACTCTTAGGGTGTACTCCCAGGAGTGGGGGTCTCTGGGTGAGAAGGCAGTTCTGTTTTTAATTTTTGAGATATGTCCACACTGTTTTCCACAGTGATTGCTATGTGGCTATGAAAAAGAAGGAAATCTCACCTTTTGCAACAGCATGGATGGACCCCAAAAACACTATGCTGAGTGAAAGAAGCCAATCAGAGAAAAACATACAGTATGATCTCACTTGCATGTGGAATTAGTGAACAGAAGAAACTGGTGAACAAAAATAGAACAGAGGCGTGGACGCATGGGACAGACTGACAGCTGTCAGAGGGCATGAGGGAGAGGGGGGCTGGGTGAACAAAGGCGAAGACATTGCTAAAGGACATGTATGCATAGCCCATGGACACAGAAGACAATGTGGTGATGGCCGGAGATAAGGCAGGGGGTCGGGGGCTGGGTGGAAGGGCACAAAGAGGTGGAAATGGGGACCTTGGTAATAGTGTCAACAATAAAAATAAACAGAAAGAATAAAAAACTAAGCGATTTCAGAATAAACCCATGACATTAACAAAAATAGGATTTATTTATTTATGCAAAAATTGGTAAAATATGTTAATACATAATGGTACATAAACATATAAATAGATTTGCACACTTATAAAAGCTAAAGAATTATCTCTCATGCCTTTGATGATGATTGCTTATTTTAATGAATTGTACCAAATTAGGATTTTAGTTTGCATGCTGTCCTTACCTACACATTGAGGTAGGGGACTCCATTTCCCCAGGCGGCATGTTATCTCATGATGCCCAGTTATCTTGAAACCGTCTTCACAAACATAATGTAATTTAGTGCCATGTGGATAGAGCTTGGGCTCCACTGTTTCTTCTCTTTCTTCTTCTGATCTGGAGGAATTTACAGTTCCATGTTCTATATCAGGTGGCTGAGGACACGGTGTTTTCTCTACAATGCAGAACAGAGATCAAAGGGTCAGGCACAAAGATCATATTTACAAGGAAAAATAAAATTAAACACACTTGGGGTTTTAATACAAGAATGATTTGAACTACTGAAATTATTTAATAACCAAACTATATTTGAAACTTGCCAAGATATATGTCTCCATAAAATCAATGATACCATCCCCTCATTCCCTAGGCCCCTTCATTCCCTTCCTGCTCATTCCCAGGAGTGAAACACGCATGTAGACCAATTGCATCTGGTGTTTCTGCAGTAACTCAAAGCTTCCCTCTGTGCTCACTTCACAACACAAGGGGAGCAATGCTGATTGGTTCTGGTACCGAAATTGAGATGTAAGGTTTTGAGGTGAAGTGGAAGGCATATGGAGAAAGGGCTTCAACTGTCCCTTTCCACAAAGCACAGGGAGTCTAACCCTCGTTTGACAGACAGGTGTGACACAAGTGACACACTACTGACCAATGCAGCGTGGGACTGACTTCCAGATTCCACCCTGGCACACGAGATCTCCTGCTTCCAGAATCAGAGAATTGTCTTGACAGAGAATAGAGATTGCTTCTCCTTCCTGATAATTCACTGTGGTCGTCATATTTTTGAGATTTGGGAATCTGAGGAGGAGGTGGACATCTTGGTATTTCTAAAAAATATTAAAATTAGATTTATTAAGGAAAACCACAAGTTACAAATATTAAAAAGGATAAGTCAGTAAATAAAACTGTCAGTAATAATGCATCTCAAAAGATCAAATGTAATGACATGTTCTAGATTTATGTTTGTTATACTGTTCTTGCTTACCACTGTAATATACCACATTGGGTTTCTATTCTCATGGCCTTCTTTTAGAGTCTTTCTCTTATTCTTTCTGTGATCAAGCTTGGATAATTTAGGGAAAACCTATTTTAATGATTTCTAATGAGTAGAACATCCTACCTGGATTATTAATTCCATAACAGTTCATAAAATAAAGATTGATATCAGAATGCTTTTAATGAATATCCATGATCAAATGGTTTGGAAGCCAAAGTAAACCCTTAGAAGATGTTGTACCAATAGACGCTGAACAGCCATAGCTATAGGGAACTGGTCCACGTGGCAATGGTGAATGTAGCTCAGCCCTGGTTTGGGAAACTGACAGGTGCCAGGTGGCACACAGGAGCCAGTCCCGCAGATCCACTTTCCCATGGGGGGACCAGGCCTGCATTATTTCTAGGTTGCTTTGAGGCTTGCTTTTGCTAAGACTCCCTCACCCTGAGTTAAGACATCAGAGGTTTAATGTATATCTTTGAAGTAACTCACTAAAGTGTGTGCCATTCCAACCATGGAATGTAACCAGATTAATCACTTTTATTGTTCTTTTCATTTGCAACATTGTTTTCTTTGTTATCTGTAAGAAGTAACCACTTAAAACAAATCTGTGCATAATGAATGAGGTATTCCTTGATGTAATGCTCCCAGAAAGCAGTAAAAGGCTGTCCAGGAAGGGGTCAGGGCACTCTCTCACTCAGAAAGTGGCCATGCTGTCCCTTTTCTCCACAGGACTTCTGCAGTCCGTGTGATTTTGTTCATCGCATCCACAACATAGACACCGCTGGCCAGAGTCTGTGTCCCGTAGGGAAGAATTGCCTTTAGTTAAAGATCGATTAATTTGATACAGATTCTTGGCTGAGATATGAATTAGATATGTTGAGTGGTGATTTATGTATTTGTGAAAAGTTTAAAACTTTCCTGCAGGTTCTGTTTCCTAGCTTGCCTAAATTGGTAAAAGAGCTATATAGGAAATTTAAATAGCCTACTCTCTGTTAAGGAAATTAAATTAATCAGCAAAAAATTTTTAAAAGAAGAAACTAAACTATATATCAGATGATTTCGCAGGTTTTCTATCAATCATTTAAAAGAAAAAAATATAATAACAGTGTGTATAATAACATTGTACATATACTTTTGGATAACAAAGGAGTACAGAGCAATTTTTCTATTGGGTCTCTGAGACCACAATAACCTTGATAAGAACATGTGGCAGAGACATTACAAGAAAGCAACAGTAATCTAATATCCTCTGTGAACATACATGCCAAAATTTTTAAAAATATATCAGCAAATCAAGTACATGAAAGTAAAGAAAGAATACCATATCACTGCCAACTGCAGTTAACTGAGGACAGTGAGTTCAGCTGCTGTACAGCTGGAGAAGTGCAACACACAGGTGAAACTGGGGAATCAGAATGAGCCCTGTGCTGTTGGAATTGGTGGTGGCAATAAGACTGTTTCTATGACAGATACAGATAAACAAAACGATAGATGGCTCAGTTGGTAGATGCCTACAGAGAGAGATGGATACATTCATAGAAGGGTATATACATCCCTAGATACTAAGATAGCTTCATGAGTTAGAGGTATAAGCATAAGCACCATAGTAACACAAAAAATTAGTAGCAATGGTATTCCAACAGCAATGAGCAGACCTACTCCCCAAAGCTGAAGTCACCAGTTCCTGAGTGGTTTGTCAGGTAGCTGTAGAATGCACATGATACAATTAGTATTTTGAAACAGTGCTTTGGTTATTTTCTAAATCACCTTCCAGTGGGAATTATTGTAATAAGAAATAGTCAATAAAAAGTTTTAAGACACAATGAGGCTCCTTTTAAAAGGTAGGAAGAAATTGGATGACATTTGAAAATGTTATAAATAAGAGCTGACCTGTGCAGTTCACTTCGGGAACCCATCTTCCATTGACGCAGACTGAGTGCTTCTGCTCTGACCTTCTTCGGCACGTGTAATTCACTTGCTCATTATGGTCATAGTCGATCCTATCTGACTGGAGTGGCTCATATCCATTTGGCCTTGGTAATTTACATGTCTCAATGTTACCTGTGTCTGTAAAATGAAATGTTACCTTGAAAATACTAATCATGAGAATCTAAGCAACTAACACAAAAAATAGCTATAGAGTCCATAGTACAATGAAATTGGAATTTAGGTCTATAAATTCCACCAGCACAGTTATTCCTGATCATGTTGCATCATGTGGGCTATTACGTAGGAACAAAGTCCCATGTCCAGTGCTGATATTTCAGAGAGAATAACCATCGTTAAGGCATTTGGCACTTTGGGAATTGCAAGAACATAGAGGTTCAGTTTTTGCTTTATCTGCATAGAGAAGAGTCATCACATGACTAAATTTGGTCCCATTTGAAATCTGTGCAAATGTTCACATCCATTCTTTTCCTGATCTCAGACATTTCTGCATTATTCTTAACCACAATCTTCAAACATTAGAAGAAAACAATGATGTGTGCAAACAGAATATATGAAGTTGGTAGTTTCATTATATTGTTTCAATAAAGTTAAGGTAAAATAAGAAGAAAAGTTGATTCAAGGTGTGAAGTAAAGAATGTGAATATTGAAGCAAGTCTTGTACATGATCACCAAAATTAAGAACAACAAATTAGGTGATTAAGTCATAACCTATTTTGCATACATACTTTAGAATGTTTGAGGCGCTGTTTTTACACCAGATCATCATATAATGCAACATTATACAATCCAATATTATAATGTTAGAATAATCCATTTTTACTGGCTTTAGTATGTTATCTATAGATTAGTAAAGTTTTTATACAACTATGTATTTCAAAAATTTCCTGCATATGGCAAATTCTGTTTTGAACTTGATGTCAGTGTGGGTCTCGGGTAGTATTTGTTAATAATTGGTAATGATGTCAAGTGAGGAAGATCAGAAGAAAGAAAATTCAAGTAATTGGCCAAAAAAGAGTAAGGATTTTGTAATGCAACCCTGAAAAACAAATAAAGGGACTAATTTAACACACACTAGATTCTTGAGAATTAGTGTTACTTTCCCAGGACTTGTCCAGAGTGCTGAGAAAGGAAAGAACAATATTCCTCTTCAAGAGATGGTAACTGAAGGAAGATTTGTAGCTGAAAGGATGTGTGTGGTTCTTCTCCTACGTCCTATGGTGACTGGTTTCTGAAATAATTTCTTTATTAGGAAAAAAATAAGCATCCTGAGGAGAATGAAAAGTTAAGACTAACAAGAGGTACAAAATAAACATTGAAGGAGAAAATTTTAATCATACATCTATTTACAAGTAAAATTTAGCTTCATACTTATAAATAATGTCAACATCAGAACAGATTTACAAAATTCTGCCACTAGTTTCTATTTTCCCCTGTAAACAGTATTGAATTATAGACAACAAATGTTTGGATTCATTATAATTTATGACCAGACATTTTCAAGAATATCTCCAAATTTCAAAAATATGGTGGCAAAGGCTTTACAATAAAAACATTAAATGGTCTCACAGAGCTATTATAGGAAGGCATGCTCACCAATGCACTCAGGTGTTTGGGTCCACTTTCCCTTCAAACATGTAACTGATCTGGGCCCCACCAATGTGAACCCTTCTGTGCAGCTGACCTGCACAGACTCTCCATGGTGATAGGGATGCTCCTGGGAATAGACGGAGCCATGAACGATGTGAGGTATGACTTCACATGTGCTGTTTTCCTCTGTGAAAATGTCACAAGCATATGCTAATGAAGAACAAACTGCCAGTAACTGGGGGAGGGGGGAGGAGGACAGTGGGGGAAAGAAGGGAAGGGCCAAGCCAAGGAACATGTATACAGGACCCATGGCCAAAGACAATGGGGAGGGGAGGATTGAATGTGGGATGAGGAGGTTTGGTAGGGCAGGGGAAAGAAATGGGGAAATAGGGACAACTGTAACTGAACAACAATAAACAAAAATAAAAATAAAGCTCCTGTAAACAAACAAAAAGTAAAAATGAATTATGTGTTTCTATGAATATAAATACACACTAGTGACTTACGTCTAAGTGTTAACATTTTTATACACACCAATACACCGGGGCAAGGATGTCCACTCCCCATCAACACACTGAATTTTCCGAGAACCCTTCAGCAGAAACCTGGGGTTGCAGACGTACTCCACAACTTCACCGTGTTCATGTTCTTCTTTCGGCGTGTTTGTAGCTGTCCCATTGGGGAGCTGAGGATGTGGACCACACGGTTTCACTTCCACTACGGTAGAAATTCAGTATAATTACTGGTTACATAGTCTATTTGACAATTAAAATCCAGTACAATTCTTCTTAAATTTCTTACTTATTATCTAATTTATTAACAAACTATAGAAATGATCCCTGGAAGTATAGTCTTTATTATGATCTAATTTGTTATAGTGGTCTTTGAGGAAGGAAAAAGAGTGGTGTTTACACTAGATTCTCATCCCCCAGTTCTGTTCCTTATGCCAGTTTAGGAAACTGGAAGTATATTTAAGTCCAAGAAACATGTTCCGTATTCTAGACAGTCTAAAAATATATGCAAAGTAATTAACAAATATACTAGTGTAGCTTATAATGATGTTCATATTCCTTAGAAACATCTTATCAAGACTTTTATCTTAAATATTTTTGATTTATTTAGCTTAGAGAGAGGAAAGGAAGGATGGAGATGGGGGAGAGAGAGAGAAATGCGGATTTGTTGTTTCATTCATTGGTGCATTCAGTGGTTGCTTCTTGTATGTGTGCTGACCTGAGATTGCACCTGCAACCTTGCAGCATTGGAATGATGCACTAACCAAATGAGCTCCCTGGTCAGGGCCAAGACTTTTTGAAAAAATACCATCATTAGAGCCAAATGCTTTTGTATTTGATCAACCACTTTTAAGTCATATCTATGATGGAGTTGACTGTAAGATGCTTAAACATTGTTTAGACACACTCAGTGGAACCTGAAGTGAAGCCCATGCTGGCAGAATGAGATGCAAAAATAGGACTAAAAAGAAGTAGCTCCAGCACCAGACACCGCTGAAGGTGAACTTCTTAAACAAGGGCTCTGAGGCACGTACTACCAATGCATGGTTTTCTGAAGTAAATCTCTGGTTTAAAACCCTAGATTAGAGACACCCTGGAAACCATCAGAACACTAACAGGGAAACACAATGTGATAACCAAAATTCTAATTCTTGTTGGAGCAGTTGTCAGATAAAACATTCACCTTTACATGTTGGAGGATCTGGAGACCACCCAAAGTTGTAACACTGAATTGAATCTGGTCCAACAAGTTTCAGTCTTTGTCTGCAGGAGAATTTCAACACGTCCCCAATGACATATTTCTCTTTCTGGGGCTGAACAAATGTGTTTTGTTCTATATCAGGAACAACGCATTCTTTTTCTATAAAAACAATTTTATAATTATTATGTAAATAATTTAATGAGCATATACAAATTGTCATTGCCAAATAAATGTTATACATCATGCAAAAATAAGTTGCTGGGTGTTGCATATAGAGAGAGGCATCAAACAAATCCTCTCCCTGGAAAAACATTTACCCATTCAGTTTACACCTCCTTCAAATTCATATGGGAGTCTCTGAACATCAATACATGTGTTCTGAAAATTTGTGAGATCAACTTGGTGATAGTGGATCTGATTTTATCATTGACATAATATTTAAAGTTACTGTTTTTGTATTATCAAAATAAAACTATTCTCTGACAAAAAACCCCACTGATGCTACAATTTTAAATTGCATGCATAAATAAAGTCTGGAACTTTTGTTTAACATACATCAGAAACCACGACACTCAGAGAGGCATTTCTGATATATTTCAGTTAGAGGAACATTAGAAATTGCTTAATTAATAAATTAAACCAAAATGTAATCAAACTGAAATATAAAAGAAGATGAAATAACATTCCCAAGGTCACACAGGTAGACATATTCTAGGTGCCCTGAATATTTATATACTATAAAAGTATCTGTTCTTACTTAGGTATAGTTTATATTGGCTATTAATAAATTATTCATTAATCTGATTAAATTAGAATGTGTAAATTATACCTTAAAAATTTTTATATTTGTGAAGTTTATGACATTGCTAAATGTTATAAAATACACTTTGCTTGATTCCTCTATCTCATTATTAATATAAAAAGTTAATAAGTGGAATTTAAAATTTGCAGTCACACCAAAAAGAAAATTCTTATGATTTAAACGTCAAGTATTAACACATAATTATAAAGGTAGACATAACTTAATGGTTTTCAAAAATGATGTCACAAAAAACCTCAAAAATTTGCTTTTGTTTTGGCTTTTGCTTTAATATTGAGCTTTGTAGCTTATTGAGAATATCATGCTTGAATGGGAACCACTGGGATACTTCTAAAATGTTTTTCCAATATTCTGCATAGCAATTCTTTTATTGGTGTGTGTCCTCATTTCCATAATTAGTGCTCATTTGGTATAAATTCTTCATCTCATCAAATTGTATAAAAATGCTGCCTTGAGGTAAAAAAAAGGTGTTGACTGTTGTCTATTTCCAGCTGTTAT